GGATCTCTATTCACCAGCTTGAAGGGGAGTGTTGGAAAACGTGGGGTTACTGGTGCAGATCTATATTTGGTAGTTGTGTAAAAATAGAATTGTATATATTCCTAGGATTGTGGAAGGATTGATTTAGAAAGTTTTTCTTTCTATTTCTTTCTTTCTATTCTTGTACTTTCTATTTTTCTACTTTCTATTTTCTTTTCTTTCTATTTTTTCTTCTTTCTATTTATTGCAGCAGCTTACTGTATAAATATGCCAATTGGCAATAGAATGAAATATATCAGTATTCTACCATTCCAAAACAATTTCTTCCACTTAAGTCCTTTTTTGGATTGGAAACAGTAACTTCATTACCACTAAGTCCTTTTCAGTTTGGCCCTAGCTCTCATAGACCCTTCAACTTCTAACAAATTACTTTTCTTAATAGGTGCCCCGCTATGCATGTGACCAAACCACCTCAATGTACTTTCTCCCATTTTATCACCTATTGGAGCTACTCCTAGGTTTATTTGTATGATTTCATTTTTTTTTAAAGGAAACGGTAACTTTCATTAGATAAAACCATAAGAAACAATTGTCACCTTCCAAAGTAAAAGGCAACCCCTGAATAACAAAAATCTTACAACACTGCACAAAACAAAAACTACCAATTCACCACTTGTTTTGCTAGGTTGTCAGATAAAGCATTTGCTGACCTCCTAAACCAATACACTTTTGCATCCAGCTCCCTTGTGAGGCTCAATAATTCCCTTACCTGTTGTCTAAGGGGCCACGTTCCCAAACTATTTGATTGCAGCCAACCTACTACTAATTTTGAATCCCCCTCCACTTCCAACTGTTGGAAACCCAATTGCTTGGCCCATCTGAGCCCCTGGAGGAGCGCCAAAACTTCAGCTCTAAGTGAGTCCCCCACACCTATTGGACCAGAATACAGAGCTAGGATTTTTCCTTCCGCATCTCTAAACACACTCCCTATTCCAGAAGGTACGGGGTTCCCAATAGAGCTGCCATCAAAGTTCAGTTTGACATGAAACTGCAAAGGAGGGGACCAAACTGCTTGTATGGTAGGTGATGAAGTAGAAGATCTTGCTAAAATATTCCAGCCTCTAATCAAATCATCTGAAGAGACATCCTTGAATAAGTTAAGAGTTTTCAGCCAATGTACTGCCTTGATGGTGATCCCTTCAATAACTTCAGGAGCTGATTTTTCTTTCCCTTGGAAAATCCTATTGTTTATCTCTTCCCATACTGCCCACAAGATAGCTGCCCTTGTTGTTCTCCACATTACCCTTCCTTCTTCTTTGGTTGTCGGAAAAAGCTAGGGTCAAATAAATCCGCTACACTTGTGGGAGGATTCCACCTACAATCAAAGAGAGAGGAGAACCAATCCCAAATTAGAGCACAAAAAGGACAAGAAATTAATAGGTGATTCACCGTCTCACCATTCCTCAAATAAAGGCTACAGACATGAGGTGACAAGCACCAATTTGGTCTCTTTCTTTGAAGCACCTCCAAGGTATTGATTTTTTAGAAAATCACTTCCCAACAAAAAGCCCTTACTTTTGGGGGGACCGGAGCGCTCCAAACTTCTTTAATAGGAAAAGAGGAAACCGGGTTAGAAGGAAGGACCAAAGCATTGAAAAACAAAGAACAAGAAAAACTACCTGTAGAAGATTCTGCCCACACTCTATTGTCCGGAGAAGAGTGGTCTAGAAAAACTGAACTTAGAAGAGAAAAAATACCAATTGCTAAATCCACTTCTAAGTCCCTCAATCCTCTCCTTAGTCCCAGATCCCAAGAATCCCCAGAAGTACGAAAAGAAGAGATAAATTGAGATTTTTTCAAAGAAAKGGAAYAAAGGTTCGGGAATCTATCCTTAAGAGGAGATTCCCCAATCCACAAGTCCTCCCAAAAAAGAATTTTATTACCCACACAAGCATCATACCTGATGAAAGGATAGAAGAAAGGCAAGATACCAACAATATCTTTCCACAGGGAAAAACACGAAGCCCTTGGGTCGAGTCCAACGTCCCATCCATTTGTTGCCATTCCATGAATACTTCTTATCACCTTATGCCATAGACTCACTTGCTCCTTAGGAAACCTCAATAACCATTTGCCTAACAAAGCTGCATTTCTTATTTTAATATTTCCAATCCCTAAACCCCCTTTGTCTTTCTTTCTAGACACCACTTCCCATTTTACCCTATGATCCTTTTTGGTATCTCTAGGCTCCCACAGAAAATCTCTCATTATTTTTTCAATCTAAGTTCGCAATCTTAACAGGCAATTTGAAGGTAGACAAAAATTACACTAGCAAATTTGCTAGTGTTGACTTAATTAGAGTGATTCTACCCCCAAAGAGATGTAGTTCCTTTTCCAACCCGCTAGTCTTTTTGAGAATCTTTCCAAAACTGGGTACCAAAAGCTAACAGACCTCGGATTTCCTCCCAAAGGTAAGCCTAAATACTTAAGAGGCCAATCACTTACCTCACAACCTAAAGATCTAGCCAACGGTGCCACCTGACCTTCTTGCCTATTAATTCCAGCTACACAGCTTTTATTCCAATTTACTCTCAAGTTGGAGACCTTTTCAAAATTCTCTACCAAGACCTTTAAATTTTCCAACTCCTCTGGATCTCCTTCACAAAAGAGAATTAAGTCATCGGCAAATTGAAGGTGGGTTACAACTATTTCCTCCCTCCCTACTCTCCACCCTCTAATCAAATTTCTAGCATCGGCTCTAGTAATCTAGACACTCAACACATCAACTATCAGGGTGAAAAGGAAAGGAGAAAGAGGGTCCCCTTGTCTTAATCCTCTCTTTGCCAGCAAGAAATCCTTGGCTACCCCATTTACTAGAATGGAGTAGTGACATGAAGAGATACAGCCCTTAACCCACATGCACCACATTTCTCCAAATCCTCTGATGCTCAATACTTCCAGTAAAAAGTCCTAGTCCACCAAATCATAGGCCTTCTCCAAATCCAATTTGCAAATCAGACCCTTTTCTCCTTGTCTTTTTCTGTAATCCACACATTCATTGGCAATAAGGATCTGATCAATAATTTGTCTTCCTAACACAAATGCCCCTTGGTTCGGAGAAATCAAGGAAGGTAGTACCTTTTTTATTCTTTCTGCCAAGACCTTTGATATTACCTTATGCATACTCCCAATTAGGCTTATGGGCCTAAAATCCTTTGGGTGGTTTGCATTTATCTTTTTAGGAATCAAAGCTATGAAAGTAGCATTGGAACCCGAATTTATCTTACCTCTCTCAAAGAATTCCAAGAAGACCTCCATTAAATCACCACCTATATTGCCTTTGATATTACCTTATCCACCTTTCTGGTTTCACCATTCATTCATCTAAGCATTCACATTTCTGTCACACTCATTTTATGGACATGCCAGTTCCAAGCCCGGATAAAGGAGAGGGTTGCATCAAGTTGGTAGCCGACACTAAAACATTTTTCAAATTCTCATTGGAGACACCAAGGATTAGTCCATATCAAAAGTTGAAAAATAATATTTAACATTATATTTTTATACATTAAGATTTATCTGCATTGTGAACCCTTTTTACTGATCAGTAATATGCAACTTTGGTAATAGATGTAAAATTAAAGATATTGGAAGATAAAAGATAATGACCTTGAAAGCCAAAATTAAATATGTATAAAATGTACGAAAGTAAGATATATTGTGTATAAGGATTGATATCAATCCTTTGCTCTATAAAGTGAATGTTGCTTTTCTTTTCTGCAGGTTCCTTTCCACTTCATCTTTCTTAATAACTGATAATTATTCATAAAAATAGTAATTCTCCAAAAGGCTAAAAATTGTACAAATATCAACACAAAAATTGGCTTCAAGTCCCAAAATTTCTTAACAAAGTGAACAGAATTGTTTCTTTTTTTCATTCATTTTTTGTTAGGTAACAGCTAAAGCAACTCTATTGAAGACAGACTGCCAGTACAATTCTTCCCTACTATGTGATAAGAGAATCTGCTACAAAGTCAGCAAATCTTTGTACCCAAGTTCATGGTGGATGCCAAAGATCCCATGTTCCTAATACAGTGAAGATATATCCTATTAACACCTCTAAGAAGAGAATATGCTATAGATAACAGATCTCTGTATCTATCTCGATGAGGTATTTATGGTGGATTCCCAAGATACCGCTTTCATAATACAGTGAAAATACACCTAAGGTACAAAATATTCTTCCCTCGTCCACCGAATTATAACTTTGGTGTCTTAAGGTACAAAATATTCTTCCCTCGTCCACCGAATTATAACTTTGGTGTCCCCCTTTTTTGAAGAAGGAATCCCCTTCAGTATCCAATCTAACATTTCCCAACACAGCCACCAGCTTCACTCCTTGTAAGGACCAGAATAAACAATCTCATGATCCAGGAAGAACCCTCTTATACCAAATGGTGAACAGAGATTTGTTACAGTGTTTTAACAAAATTTAACTTTTGGCAAGATAAAAAACAATAAAATAACAAAAAAAGGAGGACCATAATTAGAAGATCATTCAACATAAAAAGCCAAACCACAAAAAGAGTCCACAAAATCCAGACTAATCAATGCCAGTAACAAGGACTTAAAAGGCTTCAAAAAAGTCCACAAAAATCACAAAAGAAAGACTTGAACATTAAGCTAAATTTTAGCGACAAAAAAGGGGTTGAAGAGGTTGGACTGTAAAGGTGAAATTGGAGATTGCAAACCTTGTAAACTGCTTGATATCCAGGAAACTCAACTCTTGAACATGTCGATCGAAGAACAATAGATTCATCAGCAGTTCCAATATCAATTTGTATCTAGTATGAAAAAAGAAGAATGAGATAATGTGCAAACAGAAAAGAAAATATTTAGCTAATTCTATTATTCAACAATCAAGACCATATAGAATATAAATGTGCATAATAGAAAGGGCATACAGAGACTGTTGATGTCATAGGTAATACAGCTTATTTGTTTATTAATATATGGCCCAGTGTATTTTGCAGCAAGAAACAACTAGAGTCAGGTGAAATAAGGGCACAATCCTGCTACTGTGAACATTTAACAGGAGATTAAAAAATACAGATGCAATGTATTTTTTTATTAACACTGCTGTACAGTTACACTCGGAGGTTCTCCCTCCCATTTCAGTAATACTATTATACTGCAAGAACCAGAAGCAATGAAGAAACATAACAACTTTAATATATCCATTCTACATACTTCTTTAAAAAAAACAAAAAAAACAAAAGACAAGAGGAAAGGTCAACAATCAGCTAGGGGGGGGGGAATAATTGAACAATTAATCACATGAGGGCAATTATAGCTGGAGGGAATAAGGAGAGTCTTGGGGCATTTATAGCTATGTCAGTTATGAAAAAAAAAGAGTTTTGGGGCATTTATAACTAGGCCAGCTGAGCATTTATAGAAAGAGTCAGTTATGCTATCAGAAGAGTATAAGAAGGGGCTTTGGGGGATAGGGGGTGGTATGTTTTTCTTTGAGTAAAGAATATTGTGCGTGTTTGGGAGAGCCGGCGGTCTCTCGAAGAACCGACCAACTGTTAATGTTTTCTGCTGAATGAATACTAGCCTCTTTTGTTGATGTTCGAGTGTGTGAACGCTGCTGTAAGTCTGTGAACTGCGTGTCAAATTTCTAGGTCATAACAGTGGTATCAGAGCTCGTCTTTCCTCGGATATGGTGACAGTTAAGGAAGTGGCATCACAGGTGGAGGGTTTCGAAGAACGCTTGACTTCTCTGCATTCTGAATTTCGTGTGGAGATGGATGGCTTACACAATGAGATTCAGCGACTCGATCCAAAAAAGGTAGCAGCTGGACTTTCGAATATCTCATCTCTAGAAAGCTCGATACAATCACTGGAAGGAGGTGTTCAAGATCTGGTGAGACGATTTGATTTGTTGCTTCAGCAACAAGCCTATTCAGCTCCTTTGTCTACAACTGACATTGCTCCTCCTTTAGTCGCATCGAGTTGTGCGACTGACACAGAGAAGAGTGCAGCTTTCCTGACGTCTTCTTCAATATCAGTCCCGGAACATACTTCTAATTCACTTCCTCGAAAGTTGGAGTTACCTATCTTTGATGGGGAAAATCCAGACGGCTGGCTTTTTCGCGCGAAGCGCTATTTTGAGATTAATGGCTTGTTTCCGGCGGAGTGTCTACGAGCTGCAGTTGTCTGTTTAGAGGGCGGTGCATTGGCGTGGTATTACTGGGGAGATGGTCGGTGACCTTTTCGTGGTTGGACAGAATTCAAAGAGCTCCTCCTTGAACGTTTTCGATCGACTCAGGAGGGTAATTTACAGGAGCAGCTCTTCTCGTTACATCAGTCTTCTACTGTTAAGGAATATCGTCGCCAATTCGAGGTGCTCTCTGCTCCCCTACGAGACCTGCCGGTAATCAGTCCGAATAAGAGCAGGTGTTTTGGGCTGACAGAAAACTCCAGTTATTGGGATGAATCAGAGTCCCGATGTAGGAATTATAATGGGCACTTGGCAGCACTGACATCAGTCAAGGAACTAAGTTTTGCTGGAAAACTCTGCACTAATACAGCAAGAGGTTGCTGGGTTGGAGGAAGAGGCTTCAATTCTACAGGTAGTTTTAGTTGGAAGTGGTCTGACAATGCAACACATTGGAATGAATATTGTGAGTGTTTGGGAGAGCCGGCGGTCTCTCAAAGAACCAACCAACTATTAATGTTTTCTGCTAATGAATACTAACCTCTTTTGTTGATGTTCGAGTGTGTGAACACTGTTGTAAGTCTGTGAACTGCGTGTCAAATTTCTGGGTCATAACATATTTTCTTTTGCTTTTCTTGTTTGTAAGGGTGAGGAAAGAAAAGTTATGTATTAAAAGGGGTTGGAGGGTAATGGTGTGTTGGGTCTTCAGTTTTAATTTTTGTTTCAGTGATATCTTATCACCTCGTTGTTCTTCCTTTCTTCTTTAATAAATTTTTCTTTTTTATTTATTACCAAAAAAGTCACTTTATTGAGGATAAAGAATAATAAAAAGGATACTGGTCGATATTTATGTATTATTTACTTAGGACAAAGTACGATAATTTAGGAGAACAGATATAATGATACCAGAAGGTATTGGGAAACTGGCCCAAAGAAACCAGGATGCAATGAATTGCCTCATCCCAACTTTTGTTTAAGGATATCCAACACCAGTAAAGGGACAAGCATTGCTGTAATTTCCATCACATGGGTAAGTATGTGATTCCTTGACAACAATATTAAATGCTAAAACCCAAACCTGATCGATGACAGTGGGTTCCATTTGGCAAGCCATTGCTCGAGCCCATATAAGAGTGTATAACTTCAAGGAATCCTCATCAAGTACTCCTGCCAATTTAGCTGAAAGACAAATAAGTTAAACTACTAAGCCTAACATCCTTTAGGATTCTGATTAGAGGAAAAATGAGAATGTCCAACTTGCAAAAAAAATAGCCAAAAAGACGAAACAAATCATAGAGAGAATAAACTTCTATACTAGTATTATTTATTGCAATGAAAGGAATCTATCTATTACATGGTAACCTCCAGATATCTGTGGGCCTAATTGCTTCATGGGCCTCTTGAGCATTCTTCACCTTCTTAAAGTACACTCGAGTAATTTCTGATGCGAAACCCTGCCCATACCTACATAGCGGAAGTACTTGATGATAAAATAACAGAGAAACTAAAAAGGCAATTATAATTTTTTTTATCAATAAAAAGGCAATTATAATTTCGAAGCAAATAAGATGTAATTCATAAGTAAAGATAGAGAACACAAGAAAAAAGCACATAAACCCAACTTTAAAAAGTAAAGTGGCCAGATATTCAATCTTCCATTGTATATAGGTATGTCAAAGCTATAAAAATCAACATGTCATAACATGTCCCAAATATGTTGATTTCAAGCAAACCTAAAATGAAATGCAGCAATCACATGAAAAATTACTTGCAATCTTCTGTCTCAAAGTATATTATCAACTTATAATCCTTCAGAAGACATGTTAGAGTTACAACATTGCATTTACATCTTGATACATGTCAATCAAAGACATGCTCTTTCAGTATTTTTCAACTTCAGATTTTTAGGATGTGTTTGGACAAACTTCTGTTTTTGTACTTTTGAAAGCCCAAAAGCAGAAAGCATGGTTATGTGATTTTACTGTTTGCTTTTTGCTGTGAAAGGTGCTTGGCAAAACTTGCATTCAAAGCATGCCTTTTAAAGTAAAAGTAAAATGTGGTGTTTGTATACAGCTACATGCTGTACACATGCAGCACCATATATAGTTCTCGTGTCAGAATCTATTTATTGAAAAAATGGCACTATACATGAACCATTTGTCGTGTTACATGTCCCACGTGGCACCTACATGTCCATGAATGTCTGCATCTATACAAATGCTACATGACATGATGCCACATAAACAAACTACAGCCCTATCTTCCAAACACTTAAAGAACATGCCAAATGTCATTTCCGTGTCTACCACATGGAAAAACATGCCACGTGGACCATACATGCAACTGTCATTTTGCCATGTGGCATATCATATTTCCCTATTTTATTTAATTAATTTATTAATTATTTCTATTTTGTATTATTTATTTACTCATTTTCATATATTTGATTATTTTAATAATTTCATAAATTATTTTATTATTTTCTTATATATTTAATTAATTTCCCTTATTTATGTATTTATTATATGGCATATGTAAATGTTTTTTAAGGTCTAGTTGTTGGTGGGAGAGGGCAGTAGCTAACTAACTATCAAGTTCCTGTATACTCTCAGCTGATGCATTATCCAAACAAGGGCTACATTAAGATGAGCTATTATGGGGAGGGTTGAGAATTGAAATGTAAATTTGGGTTGGTGGCAGGATTCATGTAGCCGACCCTATATAGATAGGATGATGATGACAATGATGGCAGTAGCCATCCTAAATAGGAACTGCAAGGCAGTTCATACATTATTATTCTTTCTCTCAATCAATTAAGTTATCAGTTAACTATCAAAAAAGTCACTACATAATTGGGCATACCTTCCATTTAGTAAGGGAATATTTCAAGGTTGTGGTATCATTTATATCTTTTTATTATCAGCAACAACTAAACTTCAGAGACCATCTGGTCCCAACAACCAGCCAATTAGAACCTTCGACTTTCCTTCAACCAAGATACCTCCTTCAATGCTCATACAAAAGGAAATTATTAAGCCCTGCAAAATGGACAGAACAAGCAACTAGCAGAATCTCTCTCACCAATGGACCCAAAGGAGGTCATGATCAGAATCCATAATGGCTAAGGGTTTCCAAGGGAAAATCCACCAAAGTGAGCTTGATGACATTCCCAATGGAGGGCTCCTATCTAGGAGCACTCACAGCTTTAGCTGTCTGGCACCTTCTTTAGTGTATACAAATCCACTTTATTTTTATATATAGGAACAGTATCTTTTTTTTTTTGTGAAAAAGCTTAAGTGTAACTTTGTAATTGATCAAAATCCTTACAACTACCCATTGTACACCAAGGGACTATACATACAGTGGTAATATACAACCTTACATCTCAGGATTTACAAAAAGATTTATTTTTGTACATTTTAACTAGATTCACAACTAACAAATTCCAATTTCCAACATTACAACTTTTGGTGATTTAAAACATTTCTATAATCATTTTATAATCTAATATTCTAAATGTAACTATAAAATATAAAACCATCATTTAGAAATCAAATGTCAAATGACAAGCACAGGCAACTAAAGTAATAAACATGCAGATAATAGCCACACACATAAGGTTACATGTCAGGTTCACCTTTCTCTGACCAAGGCTTGAATGTCCTTTGCAGCTTCATTAGAAACCTTACAATAAACAGAAACAAAAAATGGTTAAGGAATCAGAAATCAAAAAGTGGTTACCATATAGAGGTTATCATGGGCCAGGCTGGGCTGAGTTGCAGGCCTATGGCCTTAATACAAATATATGATATTTTATATTTACATGACAAAAACATATCTATCACATTTATATTGTACATTATGTAATATAAAACTTATATATAATATGTATAATATGTATCATATTATAACATTTATATATACAACAAAATATAACATAAAACAACACATACAAACATATATATAAAATGAGTGGGCCAGGATATAAATGATCAACCCTATTACCATAGCAACTAGATATATAACATTGGGCAGCTAAAAAGGAAAAAGTTTTGATGAAAGCATAAAATGAGATAATACGTTCTGAACAAATATGCAACTAGTATTCCCATGAAACTGAAGGTGATTAGCCAATTAATACAAAAATAAATAAATAAAAAACTATTTCTAAGTACTAATCAAAGTTCATTTAACCTAAAATAGCCAAGTTGCATATGCAGACTAACTATTTGTAACTAGTGCAAGAAATCAATTGCCAACCACTCTATAAATTACTACCACCAAACAAATGTTGATTCAAACTACATTCCCATGTACATCCAACAACTTCTAAACAAAAATCTCAAACTTCATTAGCAACAGAATCCAGAACATTCTCTCAGTTATTTATTAGAATAACATTGCAAGAACTAGAAGACTACAACTTAGAACATAAAAATGGTTAAAAATATGGTGTTTGTGGAACCCCTAGTTATTTAAAATAGGGCCAATATTCTAGGCTTATTGTTAACTGTGCAATTTTATTAATATTTGTAGAAAGAATGTATAGTGCAACACATTGGCTAAAAGGGGCAAGTAAGGATCAATTCTTTTGGGGTCAAATCTAATGTAATGTTCAAGAATAGTGAAGGGATTTGATCGAAGAAGAAGAAGATGAGTGAAGGGATTTTGGAAGAAATACATAGGTAGGTAGTGGAGGTTGAGTTGGAATGAGGCTGCATTCTTGGATTCTTTCCTCTTGGCCAAGAGGAGGGAAGATGGCCAGAATAACCTGGAACTGTCTTTCATTTTCTACTTGTTGGATTATTTGGATGGATAAGAAGAGAAGACTTTCTGAAGACAAGGAATGGAAGCTGGACAAGCTGGTGGCAGCTGTTGGTTATTATGTCGCAGATTGGGTTTTGATCTTTTGAGTGTTTTCTCAGCTCAAGTGAGATGACTTTGGAGAAAGCTTATGGGAGGGAGTGGGATTTTCAAAGTTGTAATATGGATAATTGAAGTTAGTTTGTATTCTTGTTGCTGTTGTCAGGTGATACCTTATCACCTTCCCAGATTGTATTATTTTTTCTTTTAATGAATTTTCTTTTACTTATCAAAAAAAAAGAATAGGGTTGGGAGCAACTGTGAACCCAATTAGAGGGTGGTTTTGGCTATTTTTGTATATAACTCATTCTTTTTATTCACTTTTTTTATCAGTAAACATGTATTTTATTAAATTTCAGATTGTAAACATGTATTTTATTAAATTTCAGATTGTAAACAGTTTACTCATTCTTTTATTCACTTAATAAATAAAAAGTTTCAGCATTACAAATAAAGAAAGTGTATAATATACAAACACGAGTGTTCCCTGCACCCCAAAAAACATTAGGCAAGCAAAGTAGGAAGCAATCTATTGAAAGATCACATGTTGTGTCAATATATTGTAAAATCACAAAAAAAATTAAAAAATAGTGTGAACTTTTTAGTAGTTAGCAATAATTTAGGACATGATTAAAAGAAGCATAAATAGTCAACCACACACTTCTAAGTTACTTTGCCAGTATAAAGTCCAAACCACCAAATAAAACCAAAACTGCAAACCAAATAGATTACCAAAGCTGTCAACTGTCAAAGCATAAATAATTGTAATGTTTACACATGATATTTTGGATATCTTCTACTATCCCATTTTGTGTTATGTTTATCTAATTTGAAAAAATAGGTATGTATCATGTATCTCTTTTCTATGGTAGAAGTTTTAACTTTAACTATCAAAAACAAAAAATCGTTTATCATGGAGGAATCCACTAAATTTAACATGGCATGAAAAACATTATGCATAAATGGGATTTTCTATATTTATATATATATAGAAAAAATCACAAAAAAGTTTCATACTTCAAAAATAAGAACTCTTGGACCATATGGGTAAATTCTTATGCATCCATAGGGGCCATGACTTGGAGTAATAGGACTCTACCCAATCTACCCCTCCCAAGACCCCAAATAGCTGGGACCAACATTGGATAATAGCTTTAATAAAGTTTGGGCATAATACAATTCATAAGTTCATTAGGAATTGTGTAAAAAACATTAACTTAATGTTATGTATTGGTAATTTGGTACCCCAGAAAATGGAACCATTTCATAGAAAATACTAGAGAAAATATTTGTTCTTAAGACCATGCATCATTGGGTATCCAGCCCATCCCTCCCAGACCCCAGATATCTGGGACCAACATTGGTAATGGCATTTTTTAGAACCATGAATCATCACCATAATCATACAAGCCTTGTTCCAACTATATAGGGCATGTAGAACCTGGACAACATACATAATAGATAATACCCTCATAGTTGGTCAAGAGATCACACTTAGAGTTTGATGGCAATTAACATGCAAAACTACATTACAACAAATCAAGGAGAAAATTCAGAACTTCCTCTGGAACTTCAATAGAAACTGGCTACGAGGCTAAAACATCAATCAGTTGCTAATCAAATCTTGCATTTAACTACGTATTAATACAATTGCAGTTACTGCTCAAGAATAGAGACAGAAAGAGAGTGCGAAGAAATACATGAATTGCAATCACTTGCAGCAAAAACAGCAGAATAAATAAAAAGATGGTAACTCCACGAAAGCAGATCTGAAAGTAGTCATGTTTGGCATACAAAAAGCCGTGGAGTTAGGTTTTCAGAAGCTGGTAATTTAAGGCGATTGTAAAATAATTCTAAGCTGGCAGAGAAAAGAAGAACAGCATCCATGGAGGTTCAGAAATAAGATAAAAAATTTAGAAAATTGTCAAAAGACATGCAGTTATTAATTCATTGGGTTCCAAGGTCAGCCAACAATCTACCAATCAGTTGGTAAAACAAGGTGTGAATTTTTTGGGCACAGTTGTAACCTTGAAAAGCAAAGTCACTGGGTTTTTTTCTATTTTCTGTTGTAAGGGGTAGCCGAGGCTACTCAATGAAGAAATTTAGTTGGTTGACAAGGAATATGTTGATCACTGTACAGTGGGTGGGGAGATCAGCAAATACTTTGTCAGATGTGTTAGCTAAGCAAGGGGTAAATAGGGAAGAATTGTTTTGGGCTCAGTTGTGATTCTTGCTTTTCTTTCCTAGTTTACTTGTAAGATTCAAGGAGGGGCTGCAGCTCGCACCTCTCCTTGGGATGTTGTATGAACTCACTCTAAATCTGCTTCTGAATTAATAAATTTATTATCATTCATCAAAAAAAAAATGATGTAAAGACACCTTTCTATTATCAATAAAGCTATCCTATTGTTTCTGATCAAAAATAAATAAATAAAAAAGATGGTACATGATCCATCTAAGCTCCCAAAAAAACATTTACATATAGCTAGAAATTAAATTTGAATAATCAGTCAATGCAATGCAATGTGTTACATGCAGACAATAAGGATACCTACATTTAGACCATCTGTTCGCATATATGTTATCAATCCCGTCGCCTCGTCATTTGATAGTTTAACTCCTTCATACAGTTTCTGAGCCAGCTGCATTCACATAGAAATAAAATTGCCATGAGAAGAAGTGGAAAGCATGACAGCATACAAGTAATGTTAAACCAAGAAACATAAGCAGAAGCGCAAAAGAGAACATTTAAGTTAATATGTGCATCAATTATGTATCAATTGTTCTAATGTTTTTTGCATTGGATTAGATCAAAGAATTCAATATCCCATAATCAAGATCTTATGATAGTCCTTTAAGTATTTGGAACAAAGATTCCTTATCTTTCAGTATCACTAAACTCCATTCTTAATTTTGCATCTAGGCGTTGTAGTTGTTTGGATAGTTTTACCACATGTTGAAGATCCAAGTACATATGGGACATTTTGGGAAGAAAGAAATGCAAGAATCTTCAAGGAAAAAGAAAGGAGCAAAGAGGCAATAATTGAGTGTGTTACTACTAGGATGGCTCATTGGATAAAAATCTCTGGAGATTTTTTATCCTTTTTTTTATCATTTTTTTTATCAATTATCCTTTTCAACATATGACATCATTAGAAAGTGGAAGTGGCAAACACATCAACCAAACAGGCCATAATCTGCAGGAGTTAGATCATTCCTGATAGGGAATCCTTAAAACTTTAACTCTGATGGCAATAGTATGAGGAATCCAGGGCCATCATGAGTGGAAGGTCCTTTCAGAAATGATAAAGGTCACATTATTACATTATTCTCGGGTCACACATTGAGGGCTGAAATTATGGCAGCAATGGAGGGTGTGCAAAGCGCAAAGCAATTGAATGTGAAGAAATTGATTGTTGGAAATTCAAATTTGGTTATAAGAAAGGTGCATAATAGAGAGGTTTTTGTGGTCTTATAGAAATGAAATTAAAAAAAATAAAATAAAATAAAAAAAAAATTTAGGTAGCTGACTAGAGGTATGGAGGTGAGAGTTCAATAGGTTCAAAGGGCATATCACAGCATGGCTGATGCTCATCAAAGCAAGGGGTGGGAAGAGATCAAATGTTTTGGGCACAATTGTAAATAAAGGAAGAGCTAAGACACCTTATCTCTAAACAGGTTCATGTATATATGTATATTTCACTGTAATAAAATTGATGGTTATTGATAAAAAAGATCTGAGTACATTGCCTTGATCTGGCTCCTGCAGGAAAAAAAAAAAAAAAAAAAAAAAAAAAAAAGAAAGGAAAAACATTCTTTCTATTCTAATCCGACTCATCTATTTCTACTGTTCATCATAATCCCTGTTTTGACCACTTTGACAGAAAGAGTAGCAGATAACAAATACAAAAAAATTAAAAAAAAAAAAAACTTTCTAGACAGTCTTTTTCAATTCAAAAAATAAACAATGATTCTCAAGTTGTGGTTAAAAGAATGAAGAAATGCCAAGACCTTCATAATCTTTGCCATAGCACCTGAAGATGTATATTTGTCAGTAAAAGACACAAAACCAGATATCTCAAAAGTCGAAAATATTCCTCGAAAATCTAGACTACATGGCTTTATCTCAAGTTTCAATTTTCAATTGACTTCCATCAAATTTACCCAGACCCAGGAAGCTTTATGTCAGGATCAAAAAATGACATCATATCAACTTCACCCGTAGACAGCATCAGATCATGGATTGCAGTGAGAAAGGAGTTTAGAGATACACATCTTGATGATCTGGGGTTAATACTAAGGAACCATTTGATAACAGCTGAACTGGCTGAACCGAATGACTTATTGCTTTGTATTTAAGTGGATAAGTAATTAAGGAGATTGTAATCTCCTTAATTGCTGAAGCTGATGGTGGATTGATTATTGTACCTTCAAATATCTTATTATTTAATACTTTTATCCACTAAAAGACAAATCAATAAGTCATTCAGTTCATCTACTTCAGCTGTTATCAAACGACCCCCCAAGTGGGTGATGATGCTACATTGCTACTATAGATGATTGTTTAGTTTTGTAAAGGTCATATAGTACAAGCACTCACTGCATAGGTGTCTTGTAAACAATATTGGGAGAGCCCTTATATTTTTTAATATAACACTTGATCTTTCTTCCAAAAAAACTATGTATGTGTTTGGTTCCGTTTACGTTTATTGAATAAACGTTTTGTACTTGTGTGGCTGCAAAACAGAGAAAAGCAATTAATGAGGATGTTTATGACACATAGGCACCATTAGGCACCACATCAACAAAGGTGCAATAAATGCCTACCCATTGGGGGAAGCTCCAAAATGAAGCTTCTTGAAACAGGAGAGGCGCACAGAAATCGATGTTGGCTATTGCAAACATCGATACGTATGGATGCAATTAATGAGGCCTTTGCTGATGGGGCACCTATGTGGCCCGTTTACTCAATAAACGTAAACGGAACCAAACACATACTATATATGTCTCATCACCAACATCCTTTTACAAAAGCTCACTCCAATCCAATGATAATAACCTACAAAATTCAGCTTAAACTTACAATCCAACCAATGCAAAGAGAGAACCATTTATATCCAACCTTGGTTCCTGAAGTCAGAACTGCATATCACGAAATTAGTAGAAGCGCACCAGAAAAGACATTTGCATACTAGTTTCAACAAGTTCCCTTGGACTTGTATGTATAATCTACCACATGCAACTTCTTCCCATCTCAAGCTGCTGAAGGATTTAATTGCTCCATAAGATGCTTGGAATGGAGCATCAGTATTACTGCTTCTGTTCGTCCATATTTATTAGAAACTTCTTGTATTTTCTTTTTTTTTTAAGTTTAACAAAATTGATATAGAAAAATGAATGGATTGTGCATCTGTTCATCATGTTCATATTCAAGGTGACCATAAAATGTTCTTTTTTAGTCCATCTTGTTATTTTGCAGCATCAAAGTGATCTTGTTTTTTCTTCTTTATAGAATATTCAAACATGAAGCTTCAAAATTTTCCATCCTTACAAAAGCACTGCAGAAAATGCAAATACAAGAAAAACAGAAGGACACATGAGAACAACAAAGGAATTTTTTATGCTCACCTTCATTGTGTATGTGGCTGTAAAGCAAAATTTATTTGCAGCATCCTGCTGAAGTGTTGATGTTATATAAGGTGGTGGGGGATTTTTCCGCATTTTGCTTCTTTTAGAGCGCAGCACCTCAAATGTGGATGATGTAATCTTCTGTTCAATTAACTTTGCCTCTGCAAAAGAGCCAATGGAGAGCTGTCCCAGTTTTTTTAGATCAAAATAGGTCAAGTGTGATGAGAAAGAAGAGACATTTTCCAAGGAACCTAGTTCCCTTTTGTTAAACTCTACTTCTACAGTCCAATATTCCTGTGGTTTAAATTCTTCTATTTCCATTTCTCTATCACATATGAGGGATAAAGCTGCAGATTGAACACGCCCAGCTGACTGGCAAGCAGGTAATTTCCTCCATAATAGTGGTGATATGCTGAACCCAATCAAATAATCAAGAGCACGTCGTGCAAGATAAGCATGAACCAAGTTTGCATCAATATCTCGTGGAGCCTGAAGAGCACTCTTGATGGACAACTCAGTTATTTCATGAAAGACAACCCTTGCTACTGTAATGTCACCATGTAATGCACCTTGTTGTTGCAACATCTCAGTAATGTGCCAAGCAATTGCCTCTCCTTCACGATCAGGATCAGAAGCAAGGATAAGATTTTCTGCTCTGAGAAGTGAGTTCAACCAAAATTAAAATGTGAAGCATCAGAATCATAATCAGATGTCAAGTTCTAGAACAATTCATAATCATTAACAACCACAAAGTAATATATAAAAGCTAAGAGTTACACCCTCAATTTAATTAAGATGGTCAATCATAAAAATTTCCATGATACATTTTAGTCTAATGGAAAGGATGTAAGGAGATGTTAGTAAAGAAAAGCCATGCAGATAAGACAATTCAAAGGATAGACGAAAAACTGGCTTGCAAGAATAAGGAGATGAATTTTACCCATTCAGTGCAACCTTAATACTCTTAAGATGAGTCCAAGCAGCAGATGGAACCTCCCACACCATGCTGAAGTCATCATCAGGCCGCACAGATCCTGACCGACCAGCTAAGTCCCTTACATGACCATAGCTAGGCAGGACTTCAAACATATGCCCAAGGTAGTCCTGAATAACCTTTGCTTTCGTAACAGACTCTACCACAACAACAGATTTGCCTGTGGGAGGATGTAATGGCCTGAAAGTCCTTGCATAAGACTTTATTTTACCCTCCATTTTTTGCGCCTGTGGCAACTCAGTACTAGAGGAAATTTTCTGTGCACTTTTGCTCTTTTCTGAGAGGGCCTTACTTGATTTCACCACTCTACCTTTTTTTTCAGGTTTATCCCTGCCAGTAGAGTTCTTTGTTGTCTTCTTGGACAGGTTGTCTGTAGAGGAAGTATTTTCTGCCAAGGGTGTCTCTCCAACTGGAAGAATCTGAAAAATAATCATCTTTAGTTAGAACAAAGATTCCAGGTAGAGTTCTAAAACCTAAGCTTCAAGGAAAAAAAGCACTTAATAACACATACTTCAGAAGCCTGAGAGGATTGGAGAGCTTTGGCATTAGACTTCTTTATTTGAGATGCACTTTTAGAACCCTTGGACTGTGCCACACCAGAAGACAAATTAGTTCCAGAAAATTGTCCATCATCTTTCTTACTTGCCAGCTGCTGTTTCTTTTTCCCTTTAGTTCTGGTTTGTGGGTTATTACTGTCACTCTTAACTGAAGTTGAAACAGATGATTCTGATGCTCCTTCCTTGATCCCATCTCCACTTAACTCCTCTTTGAGATTCACCATATCTGTAGTTTTAACAGCCAATTTCTTAGCACTAGAGGAGCGCTTTTTGACAGGCTTACTGGAAACTCCAACCTCTACACCTCCATTAGAACCACTGCTGCAAACAGCAAATGGCTTTGCCTGCTTCTGAAACCTATGAATATGTTTGAAGTAAAATTGTTTGCCTCTAAACTTTGCATCTCCCCCAGACACATTATCATTTCTATTTGTCGTCGTTCTTGAAAGGTGGGCTTTTTGCTTAGCATGAACCGAAGAAAACCTTCTAACAGCACATTGACGAGAAGATGAACTCAATCTAAAATTACCATCTAAACATCTATTGGAGAAAATGTTCCTGGCTTTCATGGTATATGGAAACCCATCTCTTAAGTAAGACTGAAAAGTAACAGGCGCCTCATGCCTGCACCCATCAGTAACACTCCCCAAAAGAAAGGAATCTCGTTTAAACTTGAAGCTTAATTCTTTTAATCGATCTGTAGCAATCCTGAGAGGCTCCCTAGCCATTCTGAATTTAATCTGAACGAGTTTTCCATATTTATAACCATCACCAAATGGTGAACATGGCATGCAAGTACTTGGGTAATTCTGAAGTCCCCTGTATTGAGACTGCAATGCAAATCCAAGGAAATACAATAATTACTAGAAATTAATATTATTGCCATGATGTTTAATGTTGAGTCCATACAATTAATAGTCAAATGGTTCACAATTAGAAAACAGAGTAGCAACTCTGAGTCATTTCCACAAGTGTTTTTATCGACCGCAGGGAAATAAGAATAGTACAGCTATGAGGGATGCCCAGAAGAACAGAACAAATTATCTACAGATAATTCTTCCCTATTCTCGCATTCACCTTGTTCCATGAATTAGAACCTCCGACTCAAAGCTAACTTGAAAAAATGAAAATTATAATTGAAAGTTGAAACATTGGTGCAATTTTGTTGTGCCAACGCATTAATTTCAGTCAAACAATCAAAACTTTAACCCTCCAAAAAGGAAAAATGAGGAATAAAAAGGCAAAAGAATATTGAGGGAAAGGAGCAAACTTGGAGAAGCGTTACCATGAAGAGAAGGCGAGATGGACTGGAAAGTTTCTCGTGTAAGTAACTTGTGGCGAACAACCTATGAAGCTGTAGCGCCATAAAGGATTTCTAAAATCGCTTCACAAGTGAAAGCCTCTAAATTCAAGTTTAAATTAAAGAACAGAAAACAAAAAAAAAAAGGAGTTAGAAGCGGAAACCGTAATGGTGGTGGTAGTAGAAATAGAAGCAATGGAAAAAAAAAATGTATGTTACCATTGATAGTTCAGGTGTTTCAGTTCAGGCGTCATTTGGAGAACATATCTATTTCAAGAAAAAGATAAGAGATGAAATGTTTCTGTATAGTATAGAGTCGATGGACTTTCAGCCCAGTACACCGGACTGAGGAAACGGAATTATATTGCTGGAGAGTACCGCGAAAAATCCCTGGTTAGGGCACTTGATTTGGCTTGAAGAGACATGTAATTACACAACAGCCCTTATGGATCCGTACTCGAACTTGATCTCGATCCGGATTAGGGTTCGAATTCGATCCGTTTGTAATCGGGACGAGTGACCCATCCTTGCCCGATTTGATCCGTTTAACATTGATTCAATGGGTGTTTGGCAGCGGAGCATTTTACAAGCGTTAGGTGTCTTGTGTCATGCGTGCCACATCAGCAATTATATCAAATTGGCAAGAAAATCGTATTTGACAATCTTATTTTTCAAAAAGAAAACGATTTTATAATGATTAGTTTTGGAATTCGAAAAAAGATGAATTTTTTAAAGAGGGTTTCTTGAAACATCAAAATGATGTTTCTTAAATTGCCTTGGTGATCCTAAATCGCCTTGGTGACATGGAACATTGAAATTTAAAAAAACCAACCACTTTTTTGAGATGTCAAATAATTGTCGTTATAAATATATTATAATATTAAGTCAAATCACTTTAAACACCTAATTAGTCTATATCCAGTTTTTTCAAAAAAGAAAGATACAAGTGAAACAAATCACTTGCAAGTCAGGGTCCACTTGTGAAATGCTTCAGTGCCAAACACCATGTTAATTTGTGCATGATATACAATATCAAAGTCATTTTCATTTATTTTTTTAATAATATATAATATTTTTTATTATCTTTAATTTAATTCATCAGTATTATTTATTAATATCTGTTTATGATCTAAATTCAATCGGATTTCAAAATCTAAATGTGAGAGAAATTTTTTATTTAAATCTAAATACAAACAAATCAAAATTGGATCAAGTGTACTCAATCCAATCTGGTCCATTTGCAGGTGCGATTTCCCTTTGATAGTTTATAAAAACTCCCACTTAGTGTCCAAGCAGTTTTGGATGATCCATGTAGCGTTTAAACCCTATCCCTGAAATGAGCTATCAAAGGGAGGCTGAGAATTGGGCCATAGACTTGTGGGCCGACCATCTGATAATGGCTAAAGTTGCTGAATTGAATCACATATTGTATTTTAGTTGTCATAAAAAATGAAAGATATAATGACCTGACCAACTTTTAGCTTTGATTCCAGCCACTAAAGAATTTACAACCTCTTTAAAAACTAAATATAAAGATAAAATAAAAACAGAACACTCTTAATGCCTTTAAAAGGTATCAAGAGATAAGAGGCATTAAGAACAAACGAACAAACCCTTAATCACTAAGACTGCCTTCGGGAAGGGTGAACTGAAAATAACTTCTAGCTTTTAAACCATTTTCGGCTTTTATCTAACAGCCACTTATATATAGATGCACAACACAAAGCCGCACAATAACTTCTAGCTTCATAAGCGAGACAATAATACACAACATAACTATAAATATGTGATTTTTCATTACAGTAATGAATATGATAATACCTTTAAGATAGAGATTTCATATGCTAAATAATGGAATTAGGAGTTCACGTGGGACGCGTGGACCTGATCCCTCCTACATAGTTGGGCTGAATTGAGAGGGGGCTACATTGCAAGGTCCGGTTACGTCTGGGCTGACATTGATCACTGACCCGACCTAGTTTGTTGGCAATGCAATTTAATTTGCACATGTTCAAAGGTATGGAATTGAAAGCTAATTCTGGTTTATTCTGGTTTTAAATGTAGCTTTATTTTGGTTATTTACTGTATACATAAAGTAGAATGAAACCTAAAACAAAGTAGAATAAAACCAGATCAGACCATGATTCAGGGACTTAAACTGACCCCTCTAACTGGTTTTGAAAATAAAAAATAAATAAAACATTAAAAAAAAAGCACCAATACACCCTAACGGCATATCGACCTGTGTTGATACTTTGAACCTTGAATAAAACTCGAAGCAAAAGCCAACCAAATTTTACAGTTCTGATGCATTTGTACCTGTAGCAAAGAAAAAAAAAGTAGAGCCTAAGTAAAACATATTTGTATTAAGATCTCATATATTATTTTCGTTAATATCCCTCACAAAGGAACATTGATTTTTAGCATTTTACCTAACCACTCTGAATTTTTAACCCATTATGCCTCCATCTAAACGTTTCTCTACATGGCCTCCAAGAATCAGAAACAATGCCAAAACAAACAACCGTCATAGCTATCAAAAGAATATTAATCCTTCCAGGGATCGCTCTCTGCCCTCACTTCCGATGGTTCAACCACTTCTGTCACCGAGGTATCAACATCACCGTCTGCATCAGATTCAAGAGGGGCATCTCCTGTCTCTCCCTCTCCCAATTCTGATCTCCCCCATTTCCCGCCAAGGGCAATCGCCATCATCTCATATATCTTGTTACCCAACTCAGCTGGACTGTCAGGCTATGCCATTTAAATGTGGAACAAAAGTTAGAAAAGAGATTGGAACAAGCAAGAAAACAAGCTACTCATGCATTAGGAAGGCAAATGAAATCATTAGACACACAGAAAATTTGTATTATAGTACTTACAGTGAATCCACTGGAAATCAAGGCTGTATCATATAGTAGGTCGACAGCTCTTCTGGCTTCTGTACTTTCTGGAGCATTCTTGCATGCAGCCTGCAAGTCACATGAACAGCAGTAGTTAGAAAACGCTAACACTATAGAAGCGTGTCAAAAGATAAAATAGTAACCAATCACTCAATTTTTCACACTGGAGGAAAAGCAAATTGGGCTAATTTGACAACTATCTCAGTTTTATAAACCGGGTACATGCCCAATTAAAAGACATCCCTCTTTATAATGACAAAAAGTACTACAATGGGATAGTTTTGTGTTTTAAAACATGTATATTTTGACTCTGAGTGTGCCCGTTTGTTAATAATGGGTTGCACCCAAATAAGACCATCAAAACAAAACATGAGGTTTTGAACCCTTCACATTGCAAAAGTAAACCTGTTTCATAGGAACTGGAACCTTCACAAGAATAGTTTACCATCTTGAGTTAATCTCCTTCTTAGTTGGGATGAGTAGGGCCACAACAATACCACCCAAAATTTGTGAAGGAAGTCCAGATAAAATTTAAAAAAAAAAATGAAGAGCAAATAACCAAATCCAAGATTATACTAAGAATGGGCAACCCCACCTCAAATACTTATGTAGCCTTTATATCTTTTTTTTTTGGTATTTGGTGCCACGCACTACTAATAACCCCCCTTTTCCCCAAATTGGTGGTTGCGGGAATCAATTCCACGTCAATGCTGGAGCAAACCAGCTAACATACCAACAAGCCACCTCTCGGTTGGTGTAGCCTTTAGATCAAGTCATGTACTAGTTGGAGTTTTCTAAAAGCACAAAGAAGCAAAATGTGTTTGTCATCTTATGTCAATAGGTGATTTTATGCTCTAGGTGTAGAGCTCAAAGGCTCTAGTGCTTTGTAAATATTTACATACACATTCTTAAATATTAATAAATTTTTTATTACTTGCAAAAAGCAAAGCATCATGTTTGTTCTGAATTAAACAACTAAATAATTGCAGATTGTTCTGAATTAGCAATATCATAGACTCAAGAACCCTAGCTGTAGGAGTATGGTCTTACATTCAGATCTTTAATGATGGGATGATCTGGATTGATCTCTAATATTCTCCGCCCCCTCATGAACTCCAAGCTTGAAGCGTCTCCAAGGGTCTGTGCTTTCATAAGCCTTGTAAAGAAAAGACCTTATTTTAGTGAAAAGTTGATGAAAACAAGAGATTCATCTGATGAATAAGATTAAACTCAAGGTGAAGAAAAGTCATGATCATCAACCTTTCCATATTAGCAGACCACCCAAACTTGCCAGAAACAAGCACACAGGGGGATGAACTAAGACGCTTTGACACTTGCACTTTAGCTATCTTATCACCAATTTGTTGCTTTATCCAGTCGCAAAGAAGATTGTACTCTTGTTTGGTTTCCCTTTCTTTAACTTCATCCTCATCACCTGATATAATATTTGATGTCATGACTACCTGGAGAGATTAACCAAAAAGAGAGATGCACTTGTGAAATATATCCAATTTAATCATATTAGCTATCATACTAACCCAACTCAAGATCTTCCTTGCTGATATCAACAAATTTCTTTTCCTTGTAGGTCTGCAGGTTCTGGATGGCAACTTCATCGATGGGCTCTATTAGATACAAAACCTACAATGCAGGAAATCATGTTAATGGTCCAGCAGAAAAAGAACTGGACCTACAGTATCCAATAAGATAAATTTGAAATCAAATAGGCATTTCGTTGTTTCTTCTCATTTTTTCATTTATTTTGCTTACTAGAAAATCATCACTAGTATTTACAATATAATCATAACTTTTCTTTTATTATCTAAAAAATAATAACAAGTAACATTCAGATTAATACTTCAAACAATTTTAACGCAAAGTCTCCTAAAGGATGTTCTCTTTAGAATTTTGGATTAAAAAATATCAATAACTTGGTTAGTTTGGAGATTAAAGTCTCTGAAGGTTCTGGATGGAAACTTCATCAATGGCTTGCTTGTTAGTTGGATATTTCTGTACTTCTATATTTTAAGGCAATGGCATTTAAAGTCTATATTTGGTGCTTAATTTAGGAAAAAGAAAATTGTATAAGCTCTCTTTGTTGTTAGTGTAGCATCGCTTAGTTTCATTTTAAATGCATACCTCAATATCCTTTTGCACCAATTTCTCCAAGAATGGAGCAGTTTTTGCACTTTTCAAACTGTCTGTTGCCAAGTAATAGATAGCCTTTTGGTTCTCACCCATATTTTCAACATAGTTATCTAAGCTAATAAGTTCTTCCTCACTTTTGGAAGAGTAAAACCGCAGCAAGGGTATCAGACGCTTGTGATTTCCCGAATCCTCAATGCATCCCAACTTAAGAAGCTTTCCAAAGTTCTCCCAGAATTTCTTATAATCCTGCAACATGTTAGACAACAAAACCATACCAATGAAACTCCCAGAATGAAAACTGCAAAGACCATATCTGGGCTTCATTCAGCATTCACTGCTTACCTCTTTGTTCTCGCTTTCAGAGATATCCTGAATCATGTCAAATGTCTTTCTAACAAGTCTCTTTCTCATAATTCTTACCTGCCAATATATATTGAAGATAAGCAAAATAAATGATGAGAAACTAAACAGTAGCTTGAGTCCTTGAATCATGAAGAGGGTGGAAACTTTTGTAAGCATAATGGAGATTATGTTTAAAGTTTTAAACATTAGAGTCCCAACCAAGTATTTTTAAAGTTTTAAATGTTTAAAAATGTATTTGTATCGGCATATCCATGCGTATCTGGATGCACCGTTACGGACATGATACACCTGATCGGTATTTTAATCCTTGATTTTAAGCAAAGGATTACCTATAATCACATCCATTAATGTGAAATAAAAGCTCTGACTTACTATTCGGCTCTCTTGAAGTATCTCTCGAGACACATTGAGAGGAAGATCATCTGAATCCACCACACCCTTTACAAAACTCAAGTACCGTGGAAACTAGATAAAGAAAAAAAAAACATATCAGTTAATACTATAGAAACTATACCTACATACATACATACTAGCGTTATAAAGAAACACTTACCAGTTCACCATCAAAATCATCTGAAATGAATACACGTTTGACATACAAGCGGATATTCTTTGTCTTAGGATTTATCATGTCCTCATTGTTAAGAGGTGCCATTCCAGGAATGTAGAGTACACTTCTAAATTCCACTTCACCCTGAACATTTGTTAAGAATGAAGTCATAAAAACTAAACCTAAACCAGAACCCAGTACAATACCCAATGAAAAGAAAATCCCATACCTCTGTGGTAAAGTGAGTGTATGCAAGTGGATCCAAGAATTCATTAAATGTCTTCTTGTAGAATTCATGGTATTCATCTTTCTCAACTTCCTTTGCATTCCGCATCTAAAACAAGCAAATTTAACAAGAAAAAACTTAGTATGTCAACCAAATAGGGCAATGAAAACTTGCTATGAATCTAGGAATGGCAATGGGTAGGGTACCCGTGCAAATTGCCCTACCCATTCCCAAACCCGCCTATGTATCCCTGATTCCAAACCCGTCTAACTTTTCCTCTCAATTTCCCAAACCCATCCCGTCCCAAACCAGTTAAACCCGTTAAACCCCTTGGCCAAATGTTTTCTACTAAAAAAAAGTTTCTTAATGCTTATAGTGTGACTTGAACCTGGATCAATTAATGATAGCGCCAAATCTCTTAACACTACTTTAAGCCACTAAGCCATCTCGCCTTTTGTGTTATTTAGTGAAATAAAATAGATTTTATTAACTTTTGTGTTCATCAAAACAATCAATACATGTATATGAATAACAATTCCAACTAAAAATTAAAAGAAATAATATTTAAAATTAGCATTTTATAACTACATGAAATAAACAATCTATCAAATCCAAATTTACATCAAATGATGATTTTAATCCCAAGAAATTTATAAAAATAAAATATTAATAATAGAATAATTATCTTAGTACTTAAAATTTATAAATTTGTGCATAATATATAATATAATAGATTAATAGGTTCATACTTATGCATCCCGGGAATCAGGTATCGGATACCCTAAAGTCAAAACCCAAACCCTATAGGGTTTTAATCTAAAATCCCAAACCCTATAGGGTTTTGATAAGCGGGTCCTATTAGGGTCGGGACGGGTCGGATACCCGAAAATTCCCACGAAATTGCCATCCCTATATGAATCCAAGGTTCAATAAGGAGATGCTGATGTCCTGCTAACAAAAGACTTAAGGCTACAATGAAGACAAATACTTGACTTACCCATATGGGTTTTGTTTCATTGGCTAATTCCCAGTCCCAGTATTTCTCAGTCACAGTTTTCTTCTTCTTTTTCTTTTCACCCTGGAAACAAGTAAAAACACATTAGCTTGAATATGTTAAATAGATGGTGCAGGATCCCCAAAATTTCCACCAACAGGATCCCCAAAATTTACCTCTGGCTCTTCTTCTTCTCCCTCCTTTTCTTCCTCCTCTTCCACCTATCATGCAGTCATCATCTAATTAAAACCATTTCTTTTATGGGGATTCAAATGCAAAAATACTTTTTCAGAAAATCAAAACAATGTACTCACCTCAACAGTCCTTGATTTTTCCTGCCATGTGTATATGGGGAAGGAAACAAATTGAGAGTAATTCTTCACCAAACCTTGTATCCTGCTTGGCTCAGAGAATTCATATTTATCATCCGGCTGCAAGAGAAAGTGGCCAAAACTTAAGGGCATCTATGGGATATCCAAGTACTAAAAAAAGAAGCAGAGGCAAAAGGATACCCTTAAATAGAGGGTGATTTGTGTTCCACGGCGTAGAAGTTTTTCAGGATCAGTCTCTTCCCTGATAACATATGAGCTACTGTCAGCCACTGCTTCCCAGACATACTGCTTATCTGACCTTGGGCTTTTTGTAGACACAACCACCTATACCAAAAAAGAGAGATTTATCAAAGAAACAAAATATCAGGTATACTCATGTATGTAATGCCAATGCATAATAAGCAGTCTTAAATGTTTCTAAGGGAACCCTATAAATCCAACCACTTAGGCTATGTTTGGTTTGAAAGAAAAGGTAGGGAAAGGTAGGGAAACCTTTACAAACCTTGTATAGATTTCCCTACCTTTTCCTTCCTTTCCCTATTTTTTCCTTAAAACCAAACACAGCCTTAAGGATCAAAATATACCTTCTCAGCAATAAGAAACGCTGAATAGAATCCAACACCAAACTGACCAATCAAGCCATTATCTGCTCCAACATCTTTATTCTCCTACATGAGCAAAAGATTCAATGAGCAATAATGAAGAGAAATATTTGTCCATTAAAGAACAGATGCAGTTATATTATGCACAAAAATGTAAAATGAAGGGGGAACACCTTCAGAGCCTTCAAGAATTTTGAGGTCCCACTCTGTGCAATAGTTCCTAGGCAGTCAATGAGCTCTTCTTTGGTCATTCCAATACCAGTATCTCTGCAATTTCAAGAAAGGCATATAAGTAAAACCTCTCATTCCAATACCAGTATCCTCTTAAGTCTTAACCAGTAGTAAAACCTCTCATTGATCAGGGAAGAAAATAAAATGGTTGAAGCTAATATACGTTATGGTGATGGTCCCATTGTCTGGATCAGGCTTGATGCGTATCTCCAATTCACCAGCATCTCCAAGAAGAGAAGGTTCGGTCACACTTAAAAATCTCAACTTATCTAGCGCATCACTTGCATTACTGAAAAGGGCAAAAACATAAAACATAAAATAGTGATGAGAGAGCAGCAGAAAAAAAAAAAAAGAAAAGAAAAAAAAAGAGCAAACAAAAAAATGTAATTACTAATTAGCGATCTTAGGAGTAAATGGAGATGCAAGTAAAGCAAAAGAAAACGTTAGTTTTAAAGGCTAAATGCTAGAGCTCTTCCAGACAGATCCCTCGAACAAAACATTTATTCGAATGTCTACCTTCTACAATATGGCAATAAATGCTTAGAGTGCTAGCTCAGAAATAAAAATAAAACAAATATATATCACCAAAGTGAGATATAGTTATATCGATAATGCACGGTTATGATACCTACCTCACCAGCTCTCGAAGAAACACTTCCTTGTGACTATATAAACTATGAACTATCAAGTCCAGTAGTCGACTAACCTGCAATTAATTCAAATTTTCAGAAGCCTTGACTTATGAGATAACTGTCCACATGCCATAGATAATGATAGCGAAAAGCCTAAAATACCAAAACATGCTAATGCCCCTTTAAAAATTACAACCACAATTGGGGACGAAGAAGAAGGAAAAGAAGGAGAAACAACCTTATCCATGATGACACTCCCAAAGTTCCAAAACATGCTTAAAAGGAATTTGCTTTTAATCTTTTATCTTTTCTCCATTAGCCAGATAGAGATATAGTCATTATCTACATAATGACAAGACCCATCAAGCTCCCCTTCTGAATCGAACCAAACACTTGGAATTCAACACCCAAGTGTCAATGGGGAAATGGAAACAATAGAGACCAAATAACAGAAGGGGAACCTACCTCCGCCTGGTACTCAAACTTCTCGCCAGAGCTGTCCTCGGCTTCTTTCTCAGCCACAGCCGCCTCACATCGGACAGCCAATCGGTTGTTTTTCCTCTCGAATTTCCATTTCAGTCCACAACCAGGAAACCCATGTCTCGAAATGTTTCGGGGTATAAAAGAAGTTCTCAAATTCAAGACTTTAATTTGGTTCTTCACTGAAAACGATGACGAAGGAAGAGAAGCTATAGAAGATGCTGCCAAGCCCCTACTTAGAACGGGCGCCATTTGAACCCTTCTAAAGTTTATAGAAATAGAAAGGTTCTAAACCAATTCTTCTCCTTCTCTTTTTGGCGGAAATGTAGATGAGGCTGGTGAGAACGAGAAAGGTAAAACCCCCTATGTACAGGGTTTAAGGGGTACGCAGAGGAGAGATGGATGATTCTAGAAGAAACCAAAAGATCGTCTCTCTGTTTGGAGCTTTCCGAATGGTTTCTAAGGCCTAGATTCTGCCACGTCATCTCTCACAATATCTGGAAAATTTTCCATCGACAATAATGGACAAAAATTGAAAATGCTGTAAAATGTACTGTAAATAAATTGCTAATCAGGATTAGGGTGCAAATGGATCGGATATGTTTGGGTGAATTCGAATCACCCCGGATTGAATTCGGATAACCCTTATCTGATTTGAAAAAGATCTGATCTAACTTATGTTATATATTTATTTATATAAATACTAGTAGAATGGCCCATGCGATGCATGGGTATTTGAACGGGACTCAATTAAATTAAGAAAATCTCAACATATGACACGATTATGAACTTAACTTTAGTTCAAAATTCAGTTTTCATGATATTTTAGTTTATACCAATTTAAAGGATACAAAAACAGTTCTAACATGTTATAATTAAAAATGCAAAATAAGAAGAAAGCTATGAACCATTACTCATGCAAAGGCAATATCTTAATGTAGAAAATTAATAAACTCTGACCAGTACAACTTTATGTGTGGACATTTTCTGTTCAGTCCAACCCAATAAATCTTAAGTCCATCCGTACAGTTGGGGTAAGTGCTAATTCGGAATTGATGCCAATACATGGGTGGGTATTAGTGTTAGAGAGTTGATGAGTTCAATGGCTATAAATCTTCTCCTTGCTATCTAAGGCAACTTTCCTAATAGACAAATTTGGAGCTCTAGAATCAGTTTTCTGCTTTGGTCTACTATTCTCTGGAAAGATCTAACTAAGGATTTCTTTATCAGAAGAGGTGCTCTAATTCAAGACCTTACCTACTCAATGTGCCCAGAAAGCTGAGTTTATATTAGTTGTTTATTGATTAATCGACGGTGTATGAGATTTGACTTCAGTGGGTAAACAAATTTAGACTCTAATTGCTGCTCTATGGTGTGAACAGTTTGGACTAAAAGAAACAAGAGAGGTTTACAAGGGATCCATTACCAGATTGATGAGTTGATTAGAGCTGTTATTGGGAAATTGAGCTCATGGGTTGTGGCCTTCAAGGAGAATTATTAATTGGAAGCCAATTCAAATGTTTTAAATCCAAATTTCATGGTTGTCTTCTGAGTAATCTTGGGATTGACTCCATCAATTAAGTTCTATGGAGTAGTTGAAGCCGCTAATCCATTGAGAGTTGAACAGTTACTTATATTGTTGGCTTCACAGAATTGGATAGAGTTTCTATAGATTAGTTGGAGTAGGTATTTCATTAAGAGTTGAACTATTGGAGGTGTTACAAGGACTTAAACTGTTGGCTTCACAGAATTGGACTGGGGTAGGTATTGAAAGTGATTGTAAAGTGATCATCTAATGGCTTAACTCTAAAATAAAATCAGTTTGGAACTTTATATTTCTAGTTAAGGAGGCCAAAAATCTAGGAAGAAACCAGAACTGTTCGTTCAAGTGGATCCCAATACCAGTTAACTCCCTAGAGCTAGGGTAAATTATCAAAGGTGTGGTAAACTGTTAGTGTCTATGGGGAATGCCTGGGCCAAGGGTCTGTATGCAATCTGACTTTTGTCTTGCTTATAGTGGTATGATCAGCTTCTTATTGCCCTTGTAGTGTCTCTATTGCCTATTCTTGATAAATGTGGGTTCTTTAAAATATAATTAATATTATGTTGTTATTTATTAAAAAAATACTTTACCTAAATTCCTAAAAAATTCCATTCCCACCTTGATTACTCATCCTTAATATTTTTTCATATATTCAAAAACATGTATCAGCCTAGAACAGGGGTAGTTAACAAACACATAAGTTAATAAAATCATCATGCATACAATGCTATAGAAGGAATTAATTGTGTAAAAGAATTAAGGTTAATTAAATGTAACCTTACCCCGCTTGACAATAGCCTTAATCCTCTACTGAAGTAGTAGAGATTCCAGATTTACAGGGATAACCCAGCTCACACAGAATTAGCACATGGGACCATACTAATGTTAGCCTTTGGTCTTATATGTTTCCTGCTTATCTTTAAATTCTGATAAAAGGCTGGTTTGTTTGAGTTACAGTTTCAAGAATAGCTATGTGGGCTGTAGACATTGCATTGGAGTGGTGAGCAACATATTTCTGATTTCTTAACTGTAATCAATAATCCTGTTTGAGATGTGGAGAGATCTCTATATCGAAGTAGGGGCTGCAATTCTCATATACCAGTTTTATAGCTCTTTTTCCTCTTTTATAAAATTTTTTATTTTGTTATTAAAAGGTTATAGCCTAAATTTGCCCATCCAGGTCCAACTCAAGCTAAAGGTACTTAAGCCATGTCTATGCTACGGAGTGATCCATCAAAAATATTTTTTACTAAACTAAAATCAATCCATAAACCATCATTCTAGCAGTTTGATCAATGATATGCAACTGATCATGCAAGATTTTAATTAAGGTTTGATTAACTGGAAGTTTGAGCTTCAATTCTCCAACTTTTTCATACTGTCCAAAACTATATCCTGGTCCAACTGATTATCCTACATTTAACCAAGAAATTAAGAAACATTTAGAATAAAATAAATTAGCTTCCCTACAGTCCTTATTCATTCAGAGATCATTAATTTCCAGTCCTTTCACTACCATCGAACTCAAACCAGAAGAACACTTTGCACTTATCTTTGCCAAGTGTCGAAAAAATGAAAAGATTTTTCTGCTGGTCCGTTCAGTTCTTCTGCTGCTGTTCAGCTATACTTGAAAGAATGATCGGGGGAAATAGCAAAGACCAGATAGGGAATGTTCAAAAGGAACCACCGCCGTGAGGGGCGTGTTAAAAAAGAACAATCCTGGAAATATAAAATCAGGATATCTTGACCATTTCAGGCATTTTAAGAGGGTAAGATTGGAAATGTGAAATCAGGGTGTGTTGGACGATTCATCCATTTTCTCATTTTTATAAATGGGTAAGATATATAATAATATATATGTTGTTCATTTATTTATAAATATATTATTTATATTGTATTTTTGTAAATTTATAATATTATTTACTTTTTTATAAAAAATATGTATGTATATGATGAAAATACTTGTATTTTTTATTCTTCTTTATTTAAATTAGTATATTTTATTTTTCTTTTAATAATTTATTAATTTTTTAAAAAACAAATCAAACCGGATCATATCCAAAGATCTAAACTTCTCGATCGGATTCAAATTCTAATCCTTACCTATCAGATTCCATCGGATCTTCGAATTGAATCAAATCCACCATGAACAATGTTGGATCAAATCCAAATATAACCAGATCCGATCCGATTCATTTGTATCCCTAATTAGGATCCATGCCCATTAAAAAAAATTAGGATTCTTTCGTAATTTATGATTTTATCCCTCAAACGTCAATCAACAGTAGATCATGTGATATCTTCCACGTAATTGATTGAAATATTCATTTAAGGTTGGTAGATCATGTGATATCTTCCCCTAATGTTTCTGACAAATGACTAATTGTACCCTTACCATCATTGTCCCTTAACAAAGGGATTAAAAAGACTATTTTGCCCATCGCTCATAAATTGGTGACGACTTTTTCGATTTCCTCGCTAACGACATCTACCGATCTACTCCGCCACTACCCCCAAATTTCCCTCACATGCAATCCATATCTCAAACCTCTACCATCCAATAGTTTGTCATCAATCTCTTTTGTACCTTTGTTCCTCGTATCAGCTCTGATTTCAAAAACCTTTAAGTTTGAAGAGGGCCACCTCTATTCCTCGTATCAGCTCCGATCTCTCTTGTACCTATGTTCCTCGTATGAGCTCCGCTTTCAAAGACCTTTGAGTTTGAAGAGGGCCAACTCTATCCCTCGTATCAATTGAGGCCTTCTTTGGCCGAGGGGAGAGGGGGTTTGAGGATGGTGGAGGGGGTGGTGTCAATGATGTCCATCAGTGGTGTCAAAGGGGGTTTGAGGACAGCCGTCTCATTCTCTTCGTATCATCTCCGATTTCAATCTCTAGCAATGGTGTCAGGGATGTCTTTGGCATAAGGGAGAGGGGGTTTAAGGAGATCTCATATCTGGGTTACTTGTAGATTTGAGAGATACTCAATAGATTTGGGCACTCAATCTTCCACCGATATTGAGAAGCGCTTCAACCTTCTACAGATATGGACACCTTTTCCGAGTGAGTGAGTGAGAGAGGAGTCATAGGTGGAGATGATGAAACAGGGGAGAGAGAACAAATGGGAAGAAGGAAAGAGAGAGATCAGAGGTGGAGGGGTCCCTGCTGCAATGAGTTGTAGTGACGGTGATGAAATAGGGGAAAGAACAAAGGGGAAGAAGAAGGAGAGGGAGAGTGAAAGTGAAGGGTGAAATTGGGTTTAAAAAAATATACATAAAGAATTGGGAAAATTTCTGGTTAGTACATTGTACTTTGGGCCTAGTGCCACTTTGGTCCCCGAACATTAAAATGCGACAATTCAATACTCGAACTTTCAAAACATCACAATCCAGTACCTACTGTTAATTAGTTGTTAAGTGACATTTGAAAAAGACACAAATACCCTTTGAGTGACAAAAAATTAACAGTCTCAGATCCTTGCCTCTTCTATTCAAGAAATTTGGGGTCACCAGAATGCCCACTCAAATGTGACCCCAATTTTCTTGAATGGAAAAGGCAAGGATTTGGGATTGTTAATTTTTTGTCAATGTTTGAATGGTTGATAAAGAAAATTAAATAACACTTGAAGAACATTTTTGTCTTTTCTCAAATGCCACTTAACGGCTAGTTAACAACAAGTATTGGATTGTCACGTTTTATAAGTTTGGGTACTGAATTATTGCATTTTAAAGTTTGGGGACCAAAGTGACACTAGGCCCAAAGTACAGGGTACTAATCAGGAATTTTTCCTCTATATACATCATGTGGTGTCATGTGTATATGGAATTTGACGGAATA